AATCTCATCTTGAATTGTAGTTCCCATAATCCCCATATCATGGGAAGTGAATCACGGGGGCAGTTACTCTCATCCTGCTATCCTTGTGATAGTGAGTGAGTTCTCACCAGATCTGACGGTTTTACAGGGGGCGTTTCCCCCTTTTGCTTGGCACTTCTCCTTGCTGCCACCATGTGAAGAAGGATGTGTTTGCTTCCCCTTCTGCCATGACTGTAATTTCTTGAGAACCCTCCAGCCATGCTGAACTGTGCGTCAATTAAACTTCTTTCCTTTAAAAATTATAGTTCGGGCAGTTCGTTACAGTAGTGTGTGAGAATGAACTAATACAAGATAGTAGAGACCAAAATTAGAAAACAAATACAGAAAACTACTCTTTTTCGTGACTAGATGTAAAAATTGTTGCCATATTCATTTGGTTGGTTCCGTATCACTTTGATGTTTTAGTCAAGTAACTATACATTGCTGTACTTGCATTCTAGATCTGAGGGAAAAAAATCTAATTTGTGTCATTTGGCCCTCTTGGAGAGTGGTGGACTTGAGTTCACAGGTAACAAGAACATTCAGATGCTGAAGAAACATAACACCAGTGTATTGATGGAACAACAAGAAATATTTCCACATAAATGGATACTTTCAATTACTATAGCTATTTCTCTATGATTCTATCCCTTACTTAGAATCAATTTTGAGATTTTTAATGCAAGTCTTTGGTTTCTGTAACATTTTCTTAATTTTACCCAGTATGTTGACAAAATCACTAAAAAATTATTTTAGGAAATAAAGCTGTGTATGTATTTAGGCACTAAAATTTCTAGTTGTCGTTTTGAGTTTTTTTGCATTTTCTTTCAAGAATTTTATGAAAGTTTTCAAACATGCAGAATAGGTGAAAGACTTTTATAGTTCACAGCCACATTTCCTAGATTGTACAATTTTTCTACATTTGCTTTTTCACACATCTATCCATCTTTCTACCCATCTATTAACCTACCTCATTTTTCATGCCAAAGTAATATCCTTTAATTTTTTTATCCCAGACTAATATCTTTTTAATTTTTACTTTTCCTGGTAATTTAATACTGGCTTGAATAAAATAGAATCAGCATGATCAACAATAGAAAGTCAGTGAGTAAAATACTCTAAGTCAAATAAGTGAAGTAAAATATAATTGGCCTTTCTTTATAAAGGTATTCATAGAATGGTTTCCTATCGATTAATTCTAAAGCTCATTTTCCAACAACAAAACAGAAACAATAAATGGGTAAAAAGGTGAGGAGTCTTTTGACTTTTCTTTTAAGGACATATTAGTGCCATTATGTCATCTCCAGACAGGCAGTTTTTTGGACAGAGCCAAATTTGTTTAAGGCCATACCATGCTGAATGCACCCAATCTCACCTGATCTTGGAAGCTAAGGAGGGTTGGGCCTGGTTAGTACTTGGATGAGACATAGTGCCAAGTTTTACCCATAACTGAGCAGCACTGTTTCAAAATTTTCCTTTATCCACATGTGTCCCAAGACATTCACCAAAAAAAAAATAAAAAAAAATAAAAATATAAAAAAAACCAGGAAAAACAATTTTGCATTCCTCAGACAATATTAATGTGAAACTTAAAATTCGTACACATTTTCCTTATTGGCATGGTTGCTATCTTGCAAACTTACTGGGTGTGGTTACTATCTTACGAACCTTTACCACAGGATTTTATTTTCTATAGCCTTGCAATCTCTCTCCTGACTGATGCTTTTCTCCAGAGACTACCCAATATTCACTTGGGCTAACTAAAGTATTTCTACTCTTGATTCTGTTGGGTTTTGATTTTCTCACTGTTGGTATTATATGATGCTGTGCTTCTCACTCAGTGTTC